CAAATTTGAAATCAAATCATTTGATTGATTCATTTGATTTCAAATCATGATTCAAATCAAATTCAAATGATTTGAAATAAAATCAAATGATTTGAATCATGATTCAAATAAATCAAATGATTTGAAATCAAATCAATTCAAATCAAATTCAATTGATTTGAATCATGATTTGAATTTGATTTTATTTGAATCATGATATGAAATTTGAAATTAATTTGAATCATGATTTGAAATCAAATTTGATTTGATTTGAATTATGATTTGAAATCATTGAATCATTGATTTGATTTCAAATCATTTGATTTCAAATCATGATTCATTTGATTTCAAATCATGATTCAAATCAAATCAAATCAATTCAAATGATTTGAAATAAAATCAAATTTGATTTGATTTGAATCATGATTTGAAATCATTGAATTGATTTGATTTGAATCATGATTTGAAATCAATTTTTTAAAACTTTTTTTTTAGCTTTTTTTTATTTTTCTCAAAAACGGCTCTAACGATTTTCTTGAAAACTTGAAACTGTATAGCCCTTGAGATTCCTTAAATTTTGGTATATAACACATTACTGTAAAAAGTCACGTTTAAAAGTTATTTTTATACGAAAATAGCCACTTTTGCCAGCTCGAACAACTAAAGCTTCCTGGGTATTGAATTTTGTGTGAGGGTATCCGAACTGTATTTTAGGGTCATGGAATCAGTAAATTTGCACTTAAGAGTTCCATATAGGAATCTTTTGTTCTACGACTTTTGGAAAAAGCCGCTACTTTAGCGGGAAAAAGCTAAAAATAGCTAAATTTCGTTAGTTTGTAAGTTCTACACTACTAAAGGTACCGACATGTGCTATACCTCGTTTAAAAGGTATTTTGAAATACTTAAACGCCTTTTTAACTTAATTTGTTTAAATACAATGGCTTACAAATTATGATTGACCAATTTTAATTTAAATGTATATATTAGCTCCTATGAAAGCAAATGTAAACAAACAAAAACTTCTGATATCAAATAAAAACACCTCTTAACGAGGTATAAACTATTCCAGCCTTTTTCCCTTCACAGGCATTTTCTATTGCAGCGTGCCGAATTTGATTTGTTTGAATTATGATTTGAAATCATTGAATCATTGATTTGATTTCAAATCATTTGATTTCAAATCATGATTCATTTGATTTCAAATCATGATTCAAATCAAATCAAATCAATTTAAATAATTTGAAATAAAATCAAATGATTTGAATCATGATTCAAATCAATCAAATGATTTGAAATCAAATCAATGATTCAATGATTTCAAATCATAATTCAAATCAAATCAAATATGATTTCAAATCATGATTCAAATAAAATCAAATTCAAATCATGATTCAAATCAATTGATTTTGATTTGAATTGATTTGATTTCAAATCATTTGATTGATTTGAATCATGATTCAAATCATTTGATTTTATTTCAAATCATTTGAATTTGATTTGAATCATGAGATTCATTTGATTTCAAATCATGATTCAAATCAAATTCTAATGATTTGAAATCAAATCAAATCAATGATTCAATGATTTCAAATCATGATTCAAATCAAATCAATTCAATGATTTTAAATCATGATTCAAATCAAATTCAAATGATTTGAAATCAAATCAATTCAAATCAAATTCAATTGATTTGAATCATGATTTGAATTTGATTTGAATCAAATTTGATTTCAAATCATGATTCAAATTAATTGAATTGAATCATGATTCAAATCAAATCAAATCAATTCAAATGATTTGAAATAAAATAAATGATTTGAATCATGATTCAAATCAATCAAATGATGATTTCAAATCATGATTCAAATCAAATCATGATTCAAATCAAATCATGATTCAAATCAAATCAAATCAATTCAAATGATTTGAAATAAAATTAAATGATTTGAATCATGATTCAAATCAATCAAATTCATGATTTCAAATCATTTGATTGATTTGATTTTATTTCAAATCATTTGAATTGATTTGAATCATGAATCATGATTTGAAATCAAATGAATCAATCAAATGATTTGATTTGAATCATGATTTGAATTCAATGATTTTAAATCAAATCAAATCAAATCAAATCAATGATTCAATGATTTCAAATCATGATTCAAATCAAATCAAATTTGATTTCAAATCATGATTTAAATCAAATTCAATTGATTTGAATCATGATTTGATTGATTCATTTGATTTCAAATCATGATTCAAATCAAATTCAAATGATTTGAAATAAAATCAAATGATTTGAAACATGATTCAAATCAATCAAATGCTTTGAAATCAAATCAATTCAAATCAAATCAATTCAATTGATTTGAATCATGATTTGAAATCAAATTTGAAATCAAATCATTTGATTGATTCATTTGATTTCAAATCATGATTCAAATCAAATTCTAATGATTTGAAATCAAATCAAATCAATGATTCAATGATTTCAAATCATGATTCAAATCAAATCAATTCAATGATTTTAAATCATGATTCAAATCAAATTCAAATGATTTGAAATCAAATCAATTCAAATCAAATTCAATTGATTTGAATCATGATTTGAATTTGATTTGAATCAAATTTGATTTCAAATCATGATTCAAATTAATTGAATTGAATCATGATTCAAATCAAATCAAATCAATTCAAATGATTTGAAATAAAATTAAATGATTTGAATCATGATTCAAATCAATCAAATTCATGATTCAAATCAATTGAATTTGATTTGATTTCAAATCATTTGATTGATTTGATTTTATTTCAAATCATTTGAATTGATTTGAATCATGAATCATGATTTGAAATCAAATGAATCAATCAAATGATTTGATTTGAATTATGATTTGAAATCAAATGATTTTAAATCAAATCAAATCAAATCAAATCAATGATTCAATGATTTCAAATCATGATTCAAATCAAATCAAATTTGATTTCAAATCATGATTTAAATCAAATTCAATTGATTTGAATCATGATTTGATTGATTCATTTGATTTCAAATCATGATTCAAATCAAATTCAAATGATTTGAAATAAAATCAAATGATTTGAATCATGATTCAAATCAATCAAATGCTTTGAAATCAAATCAATTCAAATCAAATCAATTTAATTGATTTGAATCATGATTTGAAATCAAATTTGAAATCAAATCATTTGATTGATTCATTTGATTTCAAATCATGATTCAAATCAAATTCAAATGATTTGAAATAAAAATCAAATGATTTGAATCATGATTCAAATAAATCAAATGATTTGAAATCAAATCAATTCAAATCAAATTCAATTGATTTAAATCATGATTTGAATTTGATTTTATTTGAATCATGATATGAAATTTGAAATTAATTTGAATCATGATTTGAAATCAAATTTGATTTGATTTGAATTATGATTTGAAATCATTGAATCATTGATTTGATTTCAAATCATTTGATTTCAAATCATGATTCATTTGATTTCAAATCATGATTCAAATCAAATCAAATCAATTCAAATGATTTGAAATAAAATCAAATTTGATTTGATTTGAATCATGATTTGAAATCATTGAATTGATTTGATTTGAATCATGATTTGAAATCATTGAATCATTGATTTGATTTGAATTGATTTGATTTCAAATCATTTGATTTCAAATCATGATTCATTTGATTTCAAATCATGATTCAAATCAAATCAAATCAATCAAATCATGATTCAAATCAAATCAAATCAATTCAAATGATTTGAAATAAAATCAAATGATTTTTTAAGTTTTGAAAATTTGATATGACGTTCATCACATCGATATAAAAAACTTTTCTTCTACCACTTTTGGAAAAACTCGCTAGTTTAGCGGGAAAACAGCTATAAATAGCTAAAATTTGGAAAGCCGTAACTTCTATACTACTAAAGCTACAGACTTGTGCTGCATCTCGTTTGAAAGGTATTTTGAAATGCTATAAACGCCTTCTATATGCAATTTGTGTAAATGTAATAGTTAAAAAAATATGAACAAAAGACAATTTTTTAAACCTTTTTTTTTAGCTTTTTTTATTTTTCTCAAAAACGGCTCTAACGATTTTCTTTAAAACCTTAAACTGTGTAGCCCTTGAGATTCCTTAAATTTTGGTATATAACACATTACTGTAAAAAGTCACGTTTAAAAGTTATTTTTATACGAAAATAGCCACTGTTGCCAGCTCGAACAATTAACGCTCCCTGAGTATTGAATTTTGTGGGAGGGTATCCGAACTGTATTTTAGGGTCATGGAATCAGTAAATTTGCACTTAAGACTTCCATATAGGAATCTTTTGTTCTACGACTTTTGGAAAAAGCCGCTACTTTAGCGGGAAAAAGCTAAAAATAGCTAAATTTCGTTAGTTTGTAAGTTCTACACTACTAAAGGTACCGACATGTGCTATACCTCGTTTAAAAGGTATTTTGAAATACTTAAACGCCTTTTTAACTTAATTTGTTTAAATACAATGGCTTACAAATTATGATTGACCAATTTAAATTTAAATGTATATATTAGCTCCTATGAGAGCAAATGTAAACAAACAAAAACTTCTGATATCAAATAAAAACACCTCTTAACGAGGTAAAAAACTAGTGACGATCGCACCTTCAACATACAAAAGTTCTGATATCAACATTTGTGACGAAAAATTATTACACTCGTCATTAAATAGACTTTCTAATATTTTTTTATTCGGCACGCTGCAATAGAAAATGCCTGTGAAGGGAAAAAGGCTGGAATAGTCTGCTAGGGCGGGCCGAATAAAAAAATATTAGAAAGTCTATTTAATGACGAGTGTAATAATTTTTCGTCACAAATGTTGATATCAGAACTTTTGTATGTTGAAGGTGCGATCGTCACTAGTTTTTTACCTCGTTAAGAGGTGTTTTTATTTGATAATAATTTAAGACGTATAACCATTTTTCTGTAAAGTAATAATTTTTTTCCCAATTTACTCACTTAATAACAGGTGCCCTCCAGATATTGTGGAATTGCAAATCGCCGTCGCTTCCGATGTCCGCCCAATCCACAGGAGTCTGGCAGAGGACCCGGAACTGCTCCGGGTATCGCTCCCGCATCACCTCTGCCACATAGAAGGCGTCGGTAAGCAGATTGACCCCTCCCGGAGAGGCCGACTGCTCCAGGGTGTGCAGCATGGTCACTCCGGGCAGGTATTCGAAGTAGGGCATGTCAGTGTGCAGGGGAAGAGGTGCTGCCAAATAGGCGTAGTTGCTGGCTCCCGGCTGAGCCCGCACACTGAACTCCTCCCCGTAGGTGGTGCGTCTCATAAAGCCCACTCGATTGGACAACCGCCGCAGCACATCCATTTCCAGGGGGGCATTCTTCACCAGAGCCACTCCGAAAGTGGCCAAATGGTAGAGCCATTGCTGCAGCGTCGAATCACAGGTAATCAAGTCTTGGTAATAGAAAACTTCTCGGATGTGCTCAAAGTCCAGGCCGCTCCACAATTTCTGTTCCGGGCGGTAGAAGTCGCGAAGATAACGCTGACGATTGGCCGACGAGAAGTCCCGCTCCCTCAGCCAACTGAAAGGATACCGGGAGGCATGTCCATCGGACCACTCGATATCCAGGACCTCCTGATCCACATCAATGCTCTGGCGCAGGACCCGAACACTGGTGTCCAGATTGTTCCACAACTGGGGCAATCTACTCAAAGTCTGCGGCAAGTAGCACTCCTTGCAGCGGCAATTGTCACGCAGCCAGATGTCCGGGAACTGCATGTCCTGACGATCAGGATCCGGAACCTTAACTAGGCAGCTGTGGGCCTGCTCCTTCGGCGCAGCCAACTGGAGCGGCTGGCAGGCCAAGTCACGACGGTCCGCTTGGAACATCTTGTGCCAACCAACGACTAGGTCTTCCGATTGCGGAATGATTGGCGATTTGGGGAGCGAGCAAACAGCCCACCCTCAGGGGTACGTGGCCAAAAAGATAGAACCGATTGCTGATCGCGTGATGTTTACATCTTGATCTACACTTTGAAATCCAAAGAGGCATTTGTCTAAAACTTAAAAAAAGATAATATACTAAAATAAGCGTCCTTAGCGATTTACTCGTTTTACTGTAGCCAGAAACTAAGAATAAACTTTTCAAAAGATATTTTAGAAAATACTTTAAACCATATCAACTAAGAATATTTAGAAATTAAGGTTTCTGGTTGCTGCTTAATGCTTGAAAATACAGTAATTTTAGACACATTAAAAAAAACATGCTATTTATGGCTTATATAATTAACTAATAAATTAATTAATTTTTATAAAATGACAGCTTTAAAAATAACGAATAAATTCGATTTTGGTATTAAAACACTTTCTTTAAAAAAGCACACAAATAAATATTTTAGCTCTACATTTATTTTACCAATTATAGCTTTAAGACTACAACCAATTTCTTTCAAGTGTATTTCCACCTAAGTCTAGCCCTTATCAATCCTTTGTGAGCAGTGCAGATTGCTGTCGCAGCGCTTTGCGCTCTGTGATGGATTCTCCCCTCGCTTTAAGCCCCCGCCACTGGCGATGTAAAATTAAAAATGCAAAATTAATTTCTGCACAAAACTGCAAACGCCAGCGATTTTGCATAATTGTTTGTCAGCTGCAGCTGTGCGCGGGGGAGGCTCCATCTTCGACAGCCTTTTCATGGCCCCCACTCCGTGACGCCCATGCTCCTGCTCCTTCTACCGCGCTATGGAAGTGCCGTCAATCATTGTTAGGCGCATTGATCACTTCATTCGCGTCCCCCTGGCTCTACCCCTTCAATTTTCCCCAGACCATGCTGATTGCAATGCGAATATCCTGCGCTCGGCAGCGGCAGAAAATCATAAACAATAACCATTTCATGCCGGGGAAACAACGGGCAGAGAATCGGCAACAACAGTATCTGGTAACCAGTATATATGGCGCGATTTTTAATTATCACTTTCGCATTTTGTGCACGAGTATTGTCTGCCGCGAAAGCGACTCGTATCTATCCATCTACGTTTCCATTTCCAGTTCCATTTCCATGGGAGGCCTTTTACGCCTCGAACAAAGAAAGCGAACCGAACAATCCATCGAATGCTCAGCTTTTAGCTCAGGGATTCTTCCCAACGGGTTAGAGTATTTCAATGGGGGTATTTTGAATATCTATTTTGATTTTACATTCATGAATAAGTAGAGAGTCGCTCTAGAAATGTTACAGTTCATCAAAGGCAAGCCATTTCTCAAGTGAAAAACTTATATGTACTTAAAAAAAATAATACTTAAAAAGGGCGTCGCAAATTCGTACTAATTCACGGTAGCTACATGTAATGCATTGTTTGGGAAAAGTCCCAGTTCCCCCAGCAGAACTTTATTGTTTTCAATTAAAAACACTCACAGTCCATTCAGCTAACGAATCCATTCGCTCGGCACTTTTCTGGCCCGCCATTCATGGGCTCGAAGGCAGCGAAAGCCGGCGACATGACACAATTGCAGATGCAAGTGAAATGTAATGAGGTGTAATGAAAATGCATTCAAGTGACAGTTTTTCCCCATGCTCAGCCCACCTGCACTTAACAATAATCAGGAACAACAATAGTGACAAATATCGATGAGCAGAGCGATGGGACTGAGTAATGAAATTCTGGCAAAAAGAGTTTGTCAAAGTATTTATTATTCGCACTCGTGTTCATAAATAATCACTGTGCGAGTATTTTAATTTCATTTAAATGATTTCAAAACAAACATATCCGTGTTATCGGTTGTTTTTTTGGCTTACCGATCAAAACACACCGCAAATTATGCAAAAACATCGAGCTCAACACTTACGAAAATTAAACGAGCCCGCAGGAACCGCAACACACATATCCAGGGAAACAATGGCCAGACCGAAATTGGTTTATTTATTTCGCCGGCCATCAAATGGCAAATAAATCAGTTCCAAGTTACGGCTTACAACAGCCGTTTCAAAATGCCTGAAATATTCATAAAGCCGAAAGAGCCAAAAAAGCGGAAGCGAACAGGTGAGTGAACCCGGGGATGAGTGGAGTTAACAATGCCCGTCTAACTGGGCGGCACAATGGCCAACGCTTTGGGCCTAATTAGCCTCGTGGGCGACGAGGATTTCGGATTTCTGGATTTTTTGGCAATCCATGACAATGCCAGAACGCATAATTAGGCAGAAAGTCCGGCTCTCGAGAACGGGCCCAAATTGGTCTTGGGCGCATTGTATTTCCGTCCGGCCAGGAATCCTCTAGCTCAAGTCGCGTAAATGGCTAAAAAAAAATATCACAATCACAATACTGGCAGGCAGAGTGCAGTAAGTAGCTGCTGCGGCCACTGTGGGACACATAAATAAATGTGCCCACGAAATCCGTAAATATGATTAAGTGCCAAATTTATTTACAGCTCCCTGGTTGCCTTTAAAAAAGGCAGGCGCCAGGAAAAAAGCTAACGCAGCCCAGTGGGTTGGCAGGCGGAGGTGGTAAGCCGGAGTCACCTCCCCCGGAAGTGAGGAGAGTGGGCGGGGGATGGCCGGTGGCGGCTGCAGGTGCCTCCTGGCCAACTCGATTACAATTACGTGCGCTAATTGCACTTTAAACGCGTCCGAGCTTGCCAAGCCATCCAGCCATCCATCCGTCCGTCCTTCGGTTTGCCCACTGCCCGCACAATTCTGTTTCCCATTTTTATGGCATTTCCTTTGGCACAACTTACAACTACATAAATTTGCAAACATGATGTCCTTGCCCAGGACTCTTCTCGTCCTCCCAGCCTGTGACTATTGCGGCTCTTGCATTGTAAAAGCCCGGCTGCCAAGGCTACCAAGTCATCGTCACCGCCGCTGCCGTAACTCAAAGTGACGCTAAATTTAGTTTAATACACACACAACACTGTGGGTTGAATAAAACGTTTTACAACTTAATTTATGCACACTTTTAGGTAAATGTTTTCACATTATTGTAGCTTTTAAATAACAATGTTAAATTATTATACCCGTTACTCGTAGAGTAAAAGGGTATACTAGATTCGTGCAAAAGTATGTAACAGCTACAAGGAAGCGTTTCCGACCCCATAAAGTATATATATTCTTGATCAGGGTCACTAGCAGAGTCGATATAGCCATGTCCGTCTGTCCGTCTGTCCGTCTGTCCGGCTGTCCGTCTGTCCGTCTGTCCGTCTGTCCGTCTGTCTGTCCGTCTGTCTGTCTGTATGAACGCTGAGAACGCTCAGCAACTACAAAAGCTAGAAGGTTGAGATTTCCCACACATATTCTTTGGCTTCCTACGCAGCGCAAGTTTATTTTATCCGAGCGCCACGCCCCCTCTAACGCCCACAATCGCCCACTAACGATTTTATAATGGGTCCTGCGCCCACATCTTTAAAGATTTCCGAAAAGTAGAAATGCAATTTTGTTGTGTATATTTATACCTATCGAAATGTAGAAGACATTTTTCAAATCGGACCATTCATTAAAAAGTTATACGCAATCAAAAATTATATATCTATCTCCCTCGCACTCCCTTTTGCTAAGTTACGATTATAGTCGGGACACCAACCCGAGTACAGCGTTCGCTTTAGCTGAGTGACGGGTATTAAATAGTCGGGACACCAACCCGACTATAGCGTTCTCTCTTGTTTTTATTATTGAATAACATTGTTAAGCTTAACGATAACGGAAGCTACATTGAGCAAGCCAAAGTTTTAATACCTTTGCAGGTTAAACGAATTGTAATGTGAGTAAAATAGAAAAAAGATAAGATTTCATTTGTTTAATTATGTACACAATGCTTATTCAAAAATTCTTGCTGAAATACATATTAAAGCTAATATAAACAATTTTGATGTTTTTCCAGATATTTGAATTTACTTTGCTCTTTAACGTTGAATATTTTGAATTTCTACTTTTTTAGTCACATTTTAAAATTTAGCTTACAAGGACGCATTTGGAAAGTAGATCAGTTTTTTATAAAAAAAACCTAAATTCAATAGAAGTAATAAGTTTGTATCCATATCATATAACTATAGAACATTTAGCTGTTTAAATTTTATTTCAATTAGCACCGGCAACTACAACCACTGTGCCGTCGAAATAAATACAAAGCTGTCTTCTTAGTCGGCAGCAAGTGGCCCTTATAATGGGCCAAGGCGTAAGTCCATGTCTGGCTGGCTGTTCACCTGGCTGACTTTCAGCCCACATCCACATCGCACCGCCCACTACCCACCTCCCTTTCTCACCTGCCGCATGGCAGTTGGTTCTTTTGCTCATTTACACCTTTTATTACGTATGCGTGCGTCGGTGCAAAAGCAAAGTTTGCAGTTTAGTTTGCCATTAACGTGGCCATAAGCGCTGGCCACCCCGATATGTTTTCCATTCCACCTGCTTGCTATTCATATGCAAATAGCTTCAACGAGGTGTGCCACGAGAGTTTGGACTACGCCTAAGTATCCTGCGTCTGCGAAGTTTTCTTACCACCCCGGCTAAATCAAAGTCATGCCCCAATGCATTGTAATTGTTAGCTAGTGTGTGGAAGTGTGTTGTCAAAACTGAAGTTCAGAACGTCGACTTTTTCTTGAGAGCATAAATATATGTATATACATAAGTACAGAGGGAAAATCAAGATATTATATTTTATTTATTTTAAAAATGGAATTATTTCGTATACATAGGTAGGAGATGTTTTATTTACATTAAAAAATTAAATAAAATACCATGAATACTATCTTAGCTATAATAATCTGAGTAAGGAAACGATGTCCTATTTTCTCGCGGTGCTTTTAGAAAGTAAGGCATGTGTGTGTGGGCTGGCTTGCGGGCAAAAGTTTTTAATGTGAAAAGTGCAAAGGAGAGTGCAACCCTCATGCGAGCGGCATGTCATTCC